GTTCTTCTTTTCCTAGTTTCTTTTGTTGTAAAGTTAGGCTGTCGATTTATGATCTTTCTTGTCCTTTTTTAACGTAAGCATTTATGGCTATAAATTTCCCCCTTAGCGCTGCTTTTGCTGTGTCCCATAAGTATGTTCTAGTTTTGTTTTCATTTATCCTATGCATTTTTTAACTTCCCTTATGATTTCTTCTTTGATCTGTTGGTTGAGAGCATGTTGCTTAATTTCTACAAATTTGTGAATTTTCCAGTTTTATTTCTGTTACCAATTTCTTCTTCCCATTGTGGTCAGATAAGATACTTTTATGATATCTATCTTTTAAAATCTATTGAGGCTAATTTGTGACCTACCTTGGTGTTTATTCTGTGAACTTGAGAAGAATATTTATGCTGCTGTTGTATATGTTCTCTATATATCTAGTAGATCTTGTTTGTTTACTGTGCTGTTTACATCCTCTTTACTTATCTTCTGTCTGGTTGCTCTGTCCATTAATGAGAGTAGGGTATTGAAGGGTCCAACTATTATTATAGAACTATCTATTTCTCTTTTTAATTCTGTCAGTTTCTGCTTCATATACGTTGGTGGTCTTGACATCAGGTGTGTAAATGTTTATAAATGTTACATCCTGTTGCTATATTGAAACTTTTATTAATATATAGTGTCCTCCTTCGTCTCATAACTTTTTGATTTAAAGTCTATTTTTCTTGATATTAATATAGCTAACCTGCTCTCTTTTGGTTACTAGTGTATGGGATATCTTCCTCCATCTATTCACTTTCTATCTAATTTTTCCATGTTTACTTTGTAGTAATGCAGTGAATTCAGAAATATCTATTATTAATTATGACAGCTAAGCAGTTGATTCTTCTGGGTTTTCGAAAGGGAGACAATATTATCAACTGAAAAAACTACGCATGGCAGATACGCTGGGTGTGAGTGTCTTGTTCTGACATTAACAGCCCCAGTGTTTCATATTGAGCATCATGCTGGCAGTTGCCTTCCAGACAGACAGGCGAGTATGCCTGTGCATAAGACACAGAGAGATTGTGAGGATGCCTGTGGTGAACCATTCTTTTCACCATTCCTTACCATGGCCGTCTTCAACAGAGACAGCTCTGACTTCATTTTCCTACATGTGAAATATGTCTTCACAGACAGAATTCTTCTGTCTTACTAAGAGGACTAAAATGTTTTATCTTTGAAATCTTTATGTTTCACTGAGAGTTTTCCAATAAGCTGTCAAACTTCAAGTCGCCCATCTATCTTTTTTGTCTCATTTCACATGTGCTTGCGTCTGCTGCATGGAGATTTTATTTTAGTTTCATATTAATCTTCTTCTGCTGTCTGCAATTTGATCTTAAGCAGAGTATTAAAGGAAACAGAGAACATTTTAAAAGATGCATGATCCTTGTATGTACTGAACAGCACCCATTACAACCACAGATGGGACATTCTCGTGAAATGAATTCATAACTGATATGCCCTGATGAGTCCTCAGTCATCAGATTCCTCTGAAATGCAAGGCACTTTGACATCATGGACATCGAATGATATAGAGTCAAACATGATGGTAGTCCTATTTCAAAGATGACTGAAAAAAAGCCATTCTAAGTTAGCCCAGTGGATTTCAGCTTGAGACAATTTATCAATGAACAGACATGGAAACTTGCTAGAAGACATTATCCTCAAAATTTATGCCTGTCCTGGGGGCACACATGTGTCTGGAGTGAATTACATGAAGGATAGGATGATGAAGAAAAGCAAGTGACAAAAGGAAAGTAAAATTTAGGTCTGGGGCTGGGGGACTGGGAAGATAAAGATTTGCAGAGCCTAACTTGCTCTTATCTGTAATTCTTATCTCCCCAATCTGGCTGTGAGCAAATAAATCAGTCCCTGATTTCTAACATGGTCAAAAAACTTTTCTAACTCATGCGGTGAATTCAGAAATAAAAGAGAAAATTAAACAATGGAAGCAATTTATCCATTCTAGCCACAGAAGCCTAGCTTGTGATTGGTTCACATTTTAAAATATATTTGCTGATTCCGTCTGTCTGTCTCTCTCATTGCTTTCATTCTGTTCTAATCTTGCAAGTTCTTTCTTGTTGCTAAGGAAGCTTGTTATTTAAGCCTATATTTTAAACAACTTTAATCAACAGTTTGAAAGTAAAATGAAGAAACTTGACTTTTTCTGTTGCTGACAACTAAATTTTTTGCTTTTATTATTTTTGAAAAAAACTTTTATTTATTTATTTATTTATTTATTTATTTTTTGAGGGAGAGAAAGCACATGCAAGCTGGGGAGGAGTGGAGGAAAAAGGAGAGAGAAAGAATCTCCTGCAGGCTCCACTCCCAGCACAGAGCCCGACATGGGGCTTGATCTCATGACCATGATATCATGGCCTGAGTCGAAATCAAGCGTTGGACGCTTAATTAACTGACTGAGCCACCCAGGAGCCCCTTTCGGTGACAACTCTGAGTTAATTAGCGAATCTAATGTACACATTCTCAAAATTTAAAAAATAGTATAGTTTTTTGAGATTTTAAATGAATGACAAATGGCCTCAAAGCTGTACCTGGAGCAATGACTTGTGACCCTGCTTTAGACATTTCTTTGTTGTATTTTGGAAACATGTTAAGTAATTCTGTCATATTAATTTAGAACAGACACTGAAACTGAGAAGAATTCTGACTAAAATAACTGCCTGGTCATGATTAAGATTAAGTTGAAATAGAACAAATAAAAGGATTGGCTAGAAGAAAAGAGAAACTGACTTAAACTCAGTTAGCATAACATTTTAGATGGTATATTTTTAAATTATTATAAAATTTAAAATTTATGTTAAAATATACATTGTCATACCCATGACTGAAAATAGAGTGATTGGAGAAGCATGCAGAATGGGAGAAGAGTAGAGAACATCTTTAGTCTAATAAAGAAAAGCTGCCTGAGTAATCGGGCCTTTCTTAGGAAGAACTGTGCTTTAGGCAGTGTTTGTTTTTATCCATCCCTTTGGCTTCCTTCTGTCCTTGGCACCTGGTATCCTCATATAACCCCTTGGATTTCCAAAGTCCCCACTTCGCTAGTTGAGAGCACTACATTGTTCATATTTCCCCTATTTTTTACCATTGAAGTTTGGCCACCTATACTTATTTCTTAGGGCTCTGGTTTTTGATTAGTTGAAAACAGATGGTGTCTGAGTCAGGATGGAGCTCGCTGAAAAAGGAGATTTAGCATAGACTATGGGAAGTAGAATGGTAGGGGTTATCTTACACAATTAGAACAGAGGACTACTAGCTTCTTGGTTGTGCTTCTTTCGACTTTTTTCTCTCTTCTCTGCTTCCTTTCTCGGGTTGTTAACCCCTCATGAGGGCATCCAGTTGTCTTCTTTTGTCTTTATCCTTGTTAATTGGCTTCACTGCTGCTTGGTTTTTCAGGAAAGCACCTTGATTGACCCCATTCATTTTTTCATGCTAGGCCATGGGGTGACCCGGTGCATAGATTCCCTCCTGGAGGTGCCCCCCTTTCTTCCCCTAAAATGTGGCTGTGGCTGACGGGAACCCGTTAGATCAGAGACTCTTGGCAGGGCAGGATTTCCTTTAAAGAGGCCGTGGGCAGGAAGGCAGTCCTTGTATCTGGAACAGATGTTTTGGCACATTTGGGAGTCTTGAAGCTCTTCAGACTCTGGGGCTGCCCTGCTGAGTGATGGACGAGTTTGGCAGCACATCTTGCTTCCTTTAGCTGATCTGGTGTGTTTGGGAGACGCTGAGGGGGACAGGAGGAATCTCAGAATGCTTTCTTCAGCATCAGTAGCACCTTTTAGGTCTCACTTGAGAATACTTTCCCTCATCTGAAATGGTGATTACATTCTGCCTAAATTCCAAGACATCTTGGCTTCCTGGTGAGGTGTAGGTGAACTCTGACCAACATGCATGCCTCTTAGTGTGTTTTATTGATTACATAACTTATCTAAAAAGATAGGTCAGCTCTGGCGAGTTTTCCCTAACACATTTTTTTTTTCTCAGTGTTAGCAGCTGGAAGACTTGCTCGCATGTGTGTTGATGTGTTGTGGCCTTGGGAAGAAAGAAATCCCATCCCCTGCTTAAGGAGCTCTGAGAGAATAAACAAGGATAAGTGTAAGGAGGTCAGCTGTCTGTCCCTTGGTGCCACATCTTCATCACAGCCCTAAGCAGCTGATTGCTCCTGGTTACCCAGACCTGGTCCCTTTCGGTGTCTGCTTCCTTCCGAAACACACACGCACACACACACACACATACACACAACTTCCCTTTTACTCATGAAATTTATTATCCGATGTCGAATCTTACTTTCGTATGTACATCTAGCTTTACACATGAATTTTCTGCATGCAGAGCCAAGCTCTCTCCCTTTCCCAATCTGTAACATCATTCAAACAGGCGTTCAGACAATGTGACAATGCCTCAGTGAGTTTCAGGGTGTTTATTTCTTTCGGACGAACATAATCCGCTAGCTCAGTCTTTCTCTGCCTCTCTGCCTCTCTCTCTCCTCTTACGTGCAAACATACACCGACTCTCTCACAACATGTACAAATAAATGCCTCGGAGGGCTCTCGAGTTCAATGTCACGCTGGGCAGAAGTGGAGCAAGAGTGCAGGGAGAGTGCGCGCTGTGCGGGCGGGGAGAGAGCCTTTCCGGCCAGCAGAGGGCAGCCGAGGGGAGGCGCTGGCGCGCGAGGGCTGAGCGGAGCCTCGCCTCGCTCGGGCAGCCTCAGCCTCAGCACCAGCCGCGGCGGAACCGGGAGCGCAGCCACTGAGGGCAGCGGCGGCGGCGGGAGCGAGGCGCGCAGGGAGCAGCGGCGCGGGCGGGAAGCAGAAGCCGCCGCCGCCGCCGCCGCCGCCGCGACGGGCAGCCGGGCTCGCCGGCAGCCAGCTCGGGCCCCTGCCCCATCGGCTTCGTGCCCCCCGGCGCCGGGCGGCCGGCGGGTCTGGAGCCCGCGCCGTCGCCGGCCGCGTCCCCCGGGCATGGAAGGAGGCGGCAAACCCAACTCCTCGTCCAACAGCCGGGACGATGGCAACAGCGTCTTCCCCGCCAAGGCGCCCGCGACGGGCGCGGGGTCGGCCGCGGCCGACAAGCGCCTGGGCACCCCGCCGGGGGGCGGCGGGGCCGGCGCGAAGGAGCACGGCAACTCGGTGTGCTTCAAGGTGGACGGCGGCGGCGGCGGCGGCGAGGAGTCGGCCGGGGGCTTCGAGGACGCCGAGGGCCCCCGGCGGCAGTACGGCTTCATGCAGAGGCAGTTCACCTCCATGCTGCAGCCCGGGGTCAACAAATTCTCCCTCCGCATGTTTGGGAGCCAGAAGGCGGTGGAAAAGGAGCAGGAAAGGGTTAAAACTGCAGGCTTCTGGATTATCCACCCTTACAGCGATTTCAGGTGAGGACTCCCTGCCGCCGCCCCACCCTCCCTTCCGGGCGCGCCCTCCAACACGCGTCCCCGCACCTGGGAGGGGGCGCCCGGGGACTCGGAGGGAGGGGTTGCGGGGCGGGAGGGGGGTGGCGCTGCCGGCGGCTTCCACTCCGGCTGCTCGGGCTCCACTCTTCAACTAGTTTCCGCCGAGGAGGGGGTGGGATGAGGAGCTCCTGTTGCCCGGGAATCCCTGGGAGGTATCGCCTCCTTTGCCTTGTGAACTTTGGGGATACATCGGGGAAGATGTGACCCCCCCCAAATGGGAGGATGCTAAGTTGTGCCAAAAAACGACAACAACAACAACAAAACAAAAAACCAAAAAACAAAAAAACTTTTACTTCGGAGCTGAGAGTGTAAGGAAGCGGCCAGAAAGTCGTCTTTGGGGTGACACCCATCCTCGCGCTGCCCCCCGCCTTTCCCAAAGGGGAAGAAGGCGCTCCTGGGCTTGAGGAGAGGATGGGGCAAGCGGAGACAGTGACTCACAAGTCCTAGCTGTTCCAGCCGCTCTCACCCCTGGGGAATGTTAATCTGTTTTTCATCTGCTTATAGGCACTGGGCATCCTCAATGCATTTCTTCAGAATAGTGGCTGGCAGGCTCAGGAAGGGCAATTTGCGCTTGGATAGCCCCTGACTTGAGATTTCAGCCGGGCAGGCGCTGCCAGCTTGGGCAGCAGCGGGGCAGGAAGCTTCGAGTTCCAGAAACAGACAGGGGGCGTTTCCAGAGCCCCCTCCCTGAGACTGAGAGACACCCTTTCTTGACCTTGACTACAAGTCTGTTTCGGAAGTCTCTTTCCCACTTCCCCGCCCGGGAACTAGGGCAGGAGGAACGCTGTCCGCCAGGGAAACTGCTTCGGAGAATTAAAATTAAGACGTTTCCCGATCTTATTTGTCGCCCAAGTATGTATTCGGTTATAAGCATGTTTAGAGATTATCAAATGAAGGTCGTGAAGTAGATCCTCTTATTAACGTGCGCACACGCTGCAGCTTCCGAATAAGGTTGGGTTTTCCATTTAAATTCTAAAACTCAGGGTGGCTTGCCTTTTCTTTTCTTTTCTTTCTTTCTTTCTTTCTTTCTTTCTTTCTTTCTTTCTTTCTTTCTAAATGAATTCATTCGAAAAAGAAAAAGAATCAGTGAAAAAGAGTATATGTGCAAATTAAGCCGATTTAATAGGCGTCTATTAAACAGCAATCAAAGATAGCGATAAAAAGCAGCGTTACTTTGAGTTATGTTTAAGGGAAATTGCCATCGACTCCATGCCTCCGCAGGAGCTGTCCACAGTTCTGAATGACATTAGCTTTGGAAAACCCAAACTCCTGCCGCACTAAGCCTGGGAGTGAACGTCTTCACCTTCTTTGAATTTTATATATTGTCTCAGAAATCAGTAGCATCTATTATTTATGCATAGAGTGAATGGCTTTTAGGAAGTGTATCATTTTAAGGTTCTTATTTACCAAAACATGTAAGAAAGTCCAAAGGAGGACTTATAGAATGTAACGACATTTATAGTCTATAGCAAATTAAGAGTTGGATTGTAAGAATGTTTACGTTGAAAAGGATCTAAATAAACTGCCACGTTTCCTCCCTCAGGAAGATAAGCAGACTTATAAATGACCTTGTTTTAAGGCACATTAGACTGTCATGTTCTTTAAAATTTTAAAGGTTAGAATCAAATGTAGAAAACTATCTCTCCCTCAATCCTCAGTGGAAATATGTTGCAACCTAGTACCCTTTTTTTTTCTTTCATGAGAAAAACTTTACAAGGAAACAGGCTTCAGCCTTAATAACAAAAGTAAGCATGGCGTTTCCAGTAATATATGTGGTTCACTGTTCACATGCAAATAAAATGCTACACTTTATTTATTTTACCTGAATTGAGTGATCCCTTTTGATTACTTTTACTTTTATTTCTTGAACAATGTAAAAAGAGACTACACTTTTCAAAATGTGGCACATGGTACATAATTAAACTTTTATCTCCTACTGAATAAAAACATAGGGCCACCTTTCAGGAATTGGAATAGTGTGCCAGAATCTTTTGAATGAATGAAATTCATGAAATTAAAGATTCTCCACATTTTCTCAAGTGAATCATCTGAGACAAATATCAAACAACAAAAAAAGTGACTAAGAAATAAATTGAGATCAGATGATGGTTAACTTTTACCATGCACTTCAAATAAATGAGAAATGATTAAAAAGTGAGGTAATACTCTAAACAAAATCCAGTGTGGAGTAGTTTGCAATACTGGATTTTCTCTTGCATAACTGGACAAAAGGAAATGTCAGACACAAATTAAACAATTACTAGGTTTACGTTTCTAACTGGAAGGTATCTGAAAAAGATAGATTTTAAAACTCGCAATTACAATATATGTTTTTCCAAAACAAAAAACTAAGGAAGTAATGATGTAAATACTTATTTGCCTATGTCAAGACATTTAAATCTTATTATTATTTCATTAACATTTTTATATGGTATCAATAAGATTTCTCAAAACCTATATAACATGTCAGGATAATGTAACGGAAAAAGCAGAAATAAGAAAGACAAAACTCTGGCAGTACTTTTTTTCCTAAAGGACAAGAAATATGGGAAAAATCTCTAACATAGTAGAAATGTTATGGTTATGATCTGTTCACCTTAGGCTCTTTCCTGAAGAAGACACTTTAAGGGCAGGGCTTCGCTATGATTCCTACAATGCCAAACTGATGTTCAGTAATAATTCAGCGACTGAGAAAGTGATACTTAAGAATCAGTTTCCATGGAGGGGTGGGAGATACTGAAATAAAGTTGTTTTTTTTTTTCTTTTTTAACTTGATACTTTCATAAGCTTTTGCATGGCCAAGAAAGTTTACTCATTCTGCTCTTTGGTCAGTCCCATCCTGCTGAATGTAGGGGAGTCTGCCACTCCGGGGTAGGTCAGGACTTTACCACTGTGCTGGTGATCCAGTGTCCCTTTTTAGGATGACTTCTGAGCCAAGGCCTTTTCCACTTCCTGGGCTTTGCTCCCACTGAGACTCCCGCAGAGCTAACTAGGTGCTTCTCTCACCTGCCCAAGAGAGCTATTGCTGTGTCTGGCATGTAGTTTTCTCCTATCTCCGGTGTAAGTAGGGCAGAGGCTCTGTATTTCCCTTCTTTCTCAGGAGAGGATGATGTTAGAAGCCTTCAGGGACTAAAGAAGAGTCAAATACTACCAAAACTGTTAGAAATAACCAGGTGGCAGAAAGGGAGATGTGATGATGGAAGCAGAGATCACAGTGATGTCCCAGGAGTCAAAGAGTGCATTCAGTGTCTAAAAGCGGAAACGGCAAGGAGTGGATTCTCCCCTAGAGCCTCCAGAAGGAACATAGCCTTTGATTTTAGTCTTGTAAGACTTGTTTTTTTTTTCTCTTTGTTTGTTTGTTTTTAGAAATAACTGGGTGGGAGCTAGAGAGTTTAGTAAAAAAAAAAAAAAAAAAAAAATCTTATGTTTTTGTCTATACCATGGTATGTAATCATCCAAACTAGGGAAAATATAGTTACTGAAAAAGTAAAAGTAGGAACACCTGGCTGACTTAATCAGTTAAGTGGCGGCCGACTCTTGATCTTGGCTCAGGTCATGATCTCGCCATTTGTGATTTTGAGCCCTGCATCAGGCTCTGTGCTGACAGTGTGGAGCCTGCTTGAAATTCTCTCTTCCACCATAAGAGACTCTTAAAATACAGAGAACAAACTGAGGGTTGATGGGGGGTGGGGGAGAGGGGAAAGTGGGTGATGGGCATTGAAGAGGGCACTTATTGGGATGAGCACTTGGTGTTGTATGGGAGCCAATTTGACAATAAATTATCTTTAAAAAAAAATTCTCTCTTCCCCCTCTCTCTGCCCCTCCCCCACTTGTACATGCATCTTCTCTCTCTTTCTCTCTTGCTCTCAAAATAAATAAATAAGCTTAAAAAAACCAAAAAGAAAAAAGTAAAATTATACTGGTCTTTGTGTAGTAAGGACACAGTCTCAGTCTTGCTGAGTTTCATGTGTACCACACACACAAAAAGAAATATCTAATTAGGAGGTTAAATGTGATTTTTCTTGAGATTACTAACAGTGATTATATGTTTATTAGCTAAAATTTTATTTTTTATTTATTTAATAAAAAGGTGACTCTGGCCTACCATTGTGCTTTCACAGCTAATCTATAGTTATGACATAATCATTCAAATGGATTGAAGGAATAGAGGACTTTTCTGGGTGGTTTTTATTATCTGAGTAATTTACCTTGGAAGAATTTATCCCCAGACTATTTGCCATTTCAGGGATTCTGACATTATTTTCCTGGGTCACACTTATATATAGGGCTCTTTTATAGATAATGTTCCCATTTCATATATATTGTCGGCCAACATCTTGCCTCTGGTAAGGGAGGAGATTTTATATCTTGGCTTGTTATTTCTTCCACTACTTTTCATCAATTAGTGTGAACAACTGCACGAAAAGCTTATTGTGTCGTAAGTGCACAAGGACCCTAGAGACGGGAGTCACTCCCTGAAGCTATTGCCATTTCTGGCCTTCCATCTCTGCTTCGTGTTGCAGCCACAATAATAGTGATGTCAGAGGTCACTGATATGTTCATTAGTGAAGGGAGGCTTCGCCCATATTACACAGTAAGTCAGAGACAGGCCTTTGTTTCTAGGAGCTTCTCAGGAAAAAACAATTCAACCTTCAGGGGTTTAAGGACTAATTAGCCTACTGTTATGTTATCTTTGTGCTAAATGCAATCTGTACGCTCCCAGCAATGCTCCTTTTATTTGTTTTCCATATCAACACAGCCAAAATTAACCATAAGAATTTATTTATTTTCTCTGTTGGGTGAAACTTTTTATATCTTATAAATTCAATTAAGTTTTTCCTAGTGACTCTTCCAACTGTTAGGCCCAATTAAAGTGAAATGATTTGGAAGTATGAATTTATTCCATTACTTTTTCTTAGTAT